TTTAGGTACTAAAAAAAAATAGAAATAGATGATCTTCAGAATCTGATTGTGTGAGAAAGAAACAAGATAAAGAGGGATTTGAATATTTTGAAAGTTCGTGTTCATTGAGCACCTACTATGTGTCAGTCATTAGACTAAACAGTTTACATGCATTATCTTATTTTCCTCACAATAAAAATGGACAGATGGGAAAAAAGATAGAAAAGTAATAAAGAAATGACCAAGGAAATACACTTCTTTCAAGTAAAAACCAGCTCAAAACAAAACAAAAACCCTCTGCCCCTTGATTAATATTGGCTGCTCTCTACATTTCCAATTGAACCCCATAATGAGATAGGTGTTCTTCGTAAAAGAGGATCACAGTATATCCTCAAGTAAAACTCATAATTTACTAAGTCGCTTTGTCTTATATATATTTGCCTGTGTGTTCGTTTTTTATTTTTGGTAATATTTTGTATGTTTCCCAAAAATAATATTTTGTTGGCAAAAAAAAAATAATGACTTTTAGCTTTCTGATTTAAGCAAACTAGGTGAATAATGGTATCATTTCCAAAGTTGGGCAATATTTTTTGGGGGGAATAAGATGAAGGACAAGAACAGTTAAATTTTGTTGATGTCTATTTGAGATACAAATTAATTATACAAACAAGAATGTTAGGTAGAGAGTTAAATGTATTAATCATGGAAGATTTATAAGTTTGCGGTATAAAATTGAGATATAGCAAAATATAGATGGCACATAAAGCCATGAGAGTGTATAAGCTAGTCAAGGAATAGTAGGGACCCTAGGAAGAAAATAGGACTTAACATACTAGCATAAAGTCTGTTTAAAAAATGTTTTCGTTGATTTTAAAGAGAGAGAGGAAAATAGAGAGAAATATTGATGTGAGAAAGAAACATTGGTGGCTTCCTCTTGCATGCCCCTTCCTGTGGATCTAGACTGCAATCCCAGGCATGTGCCTTGACCTCGAATCAAACTGGTGATCTTTTGGTGCATGGGATGATGCTCAACCAACTGAGACACACTGGCCAGCCAGGGTTAACATAGAGTCTTGGGTAAATTTACCAATTAAGAGCTCAGTCTAATAGAAGAGGGTAAACTTGCAAAGGGCATTAAGAGGGAAAGATAAAGAGGTAAAGGAAATTTAGGCAATAGCAGTCAAAAGAAAAGAATTCTTTCGGAAGTACAGTGTTTTCAATACCATCAAATGTTTAGAGGCCAAAAGTGAAACAACTAGCCTGTATATAGTGTATATATATATCATTGGTGAACTTATAATGAGTAATTTTGGTGAAATATTGGTGACAGAAGTCAAATAAATGGATTAAATAATGTACAAGAGGTATAAGAGGCAAAGAAATGGTGATAAAGAGCACAAACAACTCATTCTACAAGTTTGGCTATGAAAGGCAGGATATAGAGCAGTAGCTGGAAGAGGATATAGAGACAAGGGAGTTACTATTATTTGTATTATTCATTAAAGAAGGAAGAGTAAGCATTGAAAGTTGGTGGGAAGTATAAAAAATAAGCCAAAGATATGAGGATGGGTTGGTAACTGATAGGGTCTCTCAGTCTCTGATAAAGTTGGGCGGGTAGAGAATAAACAGCATAGAAAAAAATGTTGGAGTCATTCTTTGGTTTACATTTTTTCCATGATCCTTACAACAATATTCTCACCATTTCCTTTCAGCCATCTCAGGGTCCCATTAGCCTGGTCTGTAAATTTTATATGTATTATAACCCTGGGGTTCCTAAGAAGTTTGTATGGTAGAATCATTATGAGATAAGCTTTGGAATCAGTCAGATCCCATTTGAATCCTTTTCTATACTTTATTAATGTTTAAAATTGGGGTAATAATAACTAACTAGTAAGACGGAAACAGAAAAATACTGTATGATGTCACTTATATGTGGAATCTAAAAAAGCCTAACTCTGAGAAACAGAGAATAGAGTGATGGATACCAAGGGAGGTTGAGCTGGGGGAAATGGGAAGATATTGGTCCAAGGGTACAAATTTCTTGTTATAAGAATAAGAAGTTCTAGGGACTTAATGTACAGCTTGGTGATTATAGCAAATAATAATACTGTATTACCTACTTAAAACATGCTAAGAGAGGAGATCTTAAATGTTCTCACGACAAAAACAAATGGTAATTATGTGACTTGATGGAGCTGTTACCTAATGCTGTGGTGGTAATCATTTTTGCAATATAGAAATGTATCAAATCAACACACAGCCATACACAATGTTATATATCAATTATTTCTCAATAAAGCTGAAAAAGTAAATAAAACATTGAACATTAACTAAATAGTAAGAATCATGTTTTAAAGAAGGTAATGCATGTGAAACACAGCATAATACCTGATATATAGTGAGTGTTTATTTCATGCAATGCAAGAGGCTTGTTGTCAGCTCAAAATAATGGATCCTGAGCAAGGTCAGTTGGATACATGAGCCATCAGTTTACACCCTGCATCCTATTCCATCTACATTACCAGCAGTTTGCAAGCCGGGTCCTGTGGGCCAAATCCAAAGCACTAAATATATTTTGTTTATTCCACAGTAGTTTTAAAAATACCTTAAACTTTTTGTCAACATTTAAAAGTCATGAGATTTTACATATACATATGGATTTCTTTAACTATTGGTAGATCTGCACATATATATGAAAATACAAGACTGTGCCAAAAGCTTCATTGATTCTATTCACCTGTTTTCCTCCTTTAGGCACCTGAGTTTACAATCCCTGCGATAAGGCATAGCTAAACCTTGAGGTTGCTATGCAGCAAGGGATCAAATCTATGCCTTTAGCAAAACTTTCATCAACATTTATTCAGCTATCAAAAAACAATTTAAGACAAAGCTCCAAATCTTTTAGACTTATTTTGGTCTAATGTACAGTCATTTATAAATGAATAAGGGATCTCAGAAACCAAATTGTCTCCTCAAACACTTTCTAATTTTGTTCAGGATATTTACAAGTGGGAGGATTGACAAGGCAGAAAAAACTGTTGACTTAAGGGGGAAATCTCTCCATCTAGCTTTATGTCTCCATTTAAAGTAACTTTTATAGGCTCACTCAGTGAATCATTTAGCCAAAATTAAACCTCAAAGCTATCATACCAGAATTTTCAGGCCTATTGCTCAGCTACTGAGCCTTGCTATCCATTAAAAAATGACCAATTTACAATGAATGACCTTAAATGAAATGAAGGAATAGAGACCAAAGGTTAAGCAAGTTTTTCTTTTATTTAATAAAGTATCCTTATACTAATATTATATTAGCAGCTAAATGATGCCCAGTGCCTTTGGAAATCAATACTGTTGTTCAAATTGATTTTAATTGAAGATGTTTTAGTTTATTCCTCAATAATAGATTGTGGTCGTATTTTAAAAAAGTAGTTTACTATGTGTCTCTTGGCTTTCTGAATGTCCTCCTTCAAAAAGTGTCTATTTAGGTCCTTTGCCCATTTTTTGATTGGATTGTTTATCTTCCTTTTGTTGAGTTATATGAGTTCCCTGTAAATGTTGGAGATTAAACCCTTATCAGAGATAACATTGGCAAATATGTTCTCCCATGCAGTGGGCTTTCTTGTTGTTTTGTTGATGGTTTCTTTTGCTGTGCAGAAACTTTTTACTTTGATGTAGTCCCATTTTTTTATTTTCTCCTTAGTCTCTATTGCCCTAGGATCTGTGTCTGTAAAGATACTGCTACGACATATGTCTGCAATTCAGAAAGCCAAGAGACACATGAAAACATGCTCAAAGTCACTAATCATCCAAGAGATGCAAATCAAAACAACAATGAGGTACCACCTCACACCTATCAGAATGGCTATCATCAACAAATCAACAAATGACAAGTACTGGAGAGGATGTGGAGAAAAAGGAACCCTCCTTCATTGCTGGTGGGAATGCAGACTGGTGCAGCCACTGTGGAAGACAGTATGGAGTTTCCTCAAAAAACTAAAATGGAACTGAACTGCCATTTGACCCAGTAATACCACTTTAGGAATA